TGTTACAAGTTTACCCTTGAATCAGGGGTGGAGTTAGCATCTAGATGATCACAATTAGCCATAGAGTATTTGGAGTGCCCTGGATACATAGAGAGAATCAGGATGTAACAGGGAGTGGTTTAGAAAGCTCTTTCGTACAGCTTGGGCACGGTAGCCATCATGAATGACAAAGTAAGGATCCAGACCAGGAAGTTCATGACTTAACTATCTGCTTCAGAGGAAACATTGATATTGATGTCCTTCACCCAGGGAAGGCAACAGTACCAAAGACTGAAATTTGGGAGAAGCTAGCCAAAATGTACAAAACCACCCAGATGTCATTCTCGTGTTCAGATTCAGGACCCACTCTGGGGGCGGCAAAACAACTGGGTTCTTTGTGATCTATGATTCTCTAGATTATGCTAAGAAGAAAGAGCCCAAACAGAGACTTGCAAAACAGGGCCTCTGAGAGACGACCTCCCAGAAACAGTGGAAGGAGCGCAAGAACAGAATGAAGAAGGTCAGGGGCAACGTTGGTACTGGCAAAAAGCCAAAGGAGTAGATCTGTAGTGATTTGATCTGCATTGGTGTGCAGACAATTTTGGAGAGAACAAATAAACTAAAAGCTTATGTGAAAAAGAAAAAAGAAAAGAAAGATTCTCAGGCTTTTGGATCAGGGAAGGAGAGACAGGGGAGGACCTGAGTTGCTTTTTTTTTTTGCTGCTTATCAATCAGGTTTTCACCCTGATACTGACTCCCAAGTTTTTATTAATAATATAAAAATTAGATAAACTCTTCATCTGGCATCCAACCTGGGGCAAGAGATCCTGAGGCAGCGCCTCTCCCGGGCTGTGTAGCTGCCCTAGTTACTACTTTTAACAGGCTGTTCTTCAGGTGGCCCGTGCCCTTGCTTCCCACTCTTCACATTTCCCCTACAATGCATCCTTTTCATGCAGCTCTCTCTCTCCCCACGGGTTGCAGGCTTTCCCTGGCCCACTTCCTAGGCTGCAGCCGGCCAGCTCAGCCACTAGGACATGCTCTCTGGCCTTGACACTGGCTTCCACCTGCTGGGGCTTCTGCTGCTGGTGCAGCTGCCTCACATGGTCAGCCCTGGCTACATCAAGCAGCTGCAGGTGCCCTCAGGCCAGCCTGTGCTGTAGTGCAGAGACAGCCCACTGTGACCCTATTGTCCACTGGGCTAACCTGGCCACCTGGGCACTGCCCCCACCCCCACCCCCCGCCTCACTGCCAAGTACTGCAGCAGGAGCTGGGTACCACAGGCCTCCTCACCCCACCACAGAGCACTGCAGTCAACTTTGCTGTAGCCCACAGGACACAGGGAGGGGTGGGGGAATATTGAGCAGTGTTGGTCAGGCTTGGTGGCAAGCGTTTCTACCTGCTCGGCCATCTAACTGGCCTTTTGTTTTTGAGACAGGGGTGAGTACACCATGTTGGCCTTGAATGTGACACATATCAGAGCTCCTTGTCCCTAGCTCCCAAGTGCTGGTGTATGTATTATTGCTACCTGGGACGGGGGTTGGGGGGCAGACTCCAACAGGGCAGTGCTCAAAGGGAAGCCAGAGAGTCTATGACTTTTTCTATCTGAGGGGGTCAAGGAAAAAACATTCACAGAATTTCTTGATGGTTTCCTTCTGATCTTTATTCTTCTTTTGCATTCTCTTTATTTTCCTGATGATTTCCTTCTCTCATTCTTGATGTTTTCCTTCCTACTCCATCTTTATTCTAGATGTTTCCCTTCTACTTCCTTCTCTCTCATTCTTGCTGATTTCCTTCTCTCATTTTAACTCTATTATTCTTGTTTTCCTCTGAACTCATTTTAACTCTCATTCTTGATGTTTTCCTCCTAAACCATTTTAACTCTCTCTAACTATCTCTAGTCTTCCCCTTACCCTGGTTATATACCCCAGCAAAATCTTTCAGGCAATATAAAAATTATAATGTGGTTACATTGTTTTTCAAGTGAATGATTGTAAGTAAAAACCAGCATGTTTTCCGTATCCCTTACATGATTACAGAAGAAAAACAAATTATCCCAAGAACCCACACAAATTCATACCCTAGCAACTTGTCATAAATTAACCGTTAAGACAAGCAAGTTATTCTTCTCAGCCAGGTCTTTTATTGGCAGGCTGTATTTTGCAGTTACAAAGGCTCAACACTTTATCTTGAAAGGTAGATAAGGAATATTAAAGGAATCACAAACCTCAACTTTTATATGTGGAAAGAATTAGTCTGCTCTACTTCAAATTTTTGGGGTAAATACCCACTCATCAATCGTTTCTTCTATCAAGAGATTGAGGGCAAAAAAGGGCAGAAGAAATTAATCACCTTTGATCACCAACCAAACCTAGCAAGCAAAGTATATCAATTTGCAACTATTCGGTTGCTTTGTATTTTTGACCCTAACCTAATGAATCTCTAATTCAGTGATGTGTCCTTGTGAATGTTAGATTGTTAGATTTTCTGGGTTTTTTTAATCTCAAAGCTATTATCAAAACATCTGGTCAAACCTGAAGTAATTTTAAGGCTTTGTTTCAGCTAATCCTTCAGTATTAGAGGATTAGAGCCAGCCTGGCTCCTGGAACTCAATTGTTTTCCTTAATCATTAACCTGAACTGAGGTCTGTGCTGCTCTTTAGGTGAAACTCATAGGCCCTGACTGTGACATTTCCTTGTATTTTTTTAAATTTATCAAACTCTTTATAAACTAGCATTATTAAAATCAATTAGATAGTATAAGTTAAGAAGGAAGCATCTTCATAATAATCCACAGATAAAAATGCTCAGTAAAACTGGATGTTTCCATGAGAAAAACACACTATGTTAAAGGCAGTGGGAATATCCCCACACCCATTCACACCATGCCAGCTACCAGAGGAAGATGGCAGGGGCAAATATGTAAAGGGACAGCAGAAGCAAAACACACTCTGGGGTCTGTGGTTTCAGGGCCTTGCCCAACTCAGACTCACCCATGAGGGATTTTCTTCCTGGTGGGCTGACACCCTGAAGTCAATTGCAACCCAGTCTTCCTCTGACGTGGTCACTGCCAATACATACCATGCCTGGCTTTTTTTAGTCACAGAACAAACTGGCATCTTTTTTTTTTGTCCTCAGGAGCGGGACTAAATGTGGGTGTTATCATGTCTGGCTTGACTTCAAACCTTTAATCTTACCTCAGCTTCCTGAGGCACTGGGATTACAGGCACGAACGCACTGGCTTGTCCTGGGTTTTGTGTTCATGATTTTGAAGAGCCAAGGCCTATCTATTCAGTCTTGGTAGTCTCTCTGCACTTGAAATTCTCCAGGGCAGAGGTCAGGAAATCTGAAGGGTCTAGAGGCCAAACAACCTGCATCAGTTTCTGTGTGCTGCTAGGGAAGGAACCTGGGGCCTTAAGCATGGCAGGCACATGCTTTACCACTGAGTTCATATAGCTCTCCCCTCCTGTGGAGCACAGCTAGCCAGCCAGGTGTGGTAGCACACAGGTGTAATCCTAGGACTAGAGGGCAGAGGCTGGAGGATTGCTGCAAGCTCAAGACCAGCCTGTGCTACATAGTGAGAGCACCTGGGTCAATAAAACCACTTGCTCCCAACTCCAGCAGTGGCTTTCCCCTGCCTTAGGGACAAGCCCTTGTTCCTGGCATGTGTCAGGCTTAGCCCTGGTTTCTGCGTCTGTGTGTGTGCATGTTCACGTGTAAGCGATGAAGTTGTCAGGGCACTAAACGTCCTCAGCAAATCCATTCCAGACAAAGGGCTGGAGAGGACACCCAACCCAGCAGGCTGCTGTCAGCTATCTGCAGTGCTGTGCTGTCAAGGAGCCAGGCCGTGCAGGCCCCAAACAGAAGCACAAAGCTGAAGGCCTTCTTCCTAGGAAAAGTCTCTTGCTGTCCACAGGGAAAACCCCGTGGACAAGATTTTATTCTTTGTAGAAACAAAGTCCTGCCCCAGCACCCTCCCTTGTCTCTATCCATAGCAAAATAGATAGCTGCTCCCCCTAGAGGGACGACAGCAGTCCTGGTGGTCCAATGGAGATGAAGAACTTGCTAGAAGGCCTTAGTCCCACATCCTGCAATCAGCTGTCATCCTCTTCCTCTGATTCTCCCTCAGACTCAGGTGCGCTCTCAGGCAGGTCATCGTCCATCTGCTGGAATCTTCCCGAATGGGCATCCCACATGTATTTGATGGTCACTTTGAATTCTGCCATCTCATACCCAAAAAGCTTCTGTAATAGGTGGAGAAAGCAGAGAGGAGCAGCAGCTGTGAGCCATATCCCAGCAGAAGGTTAATGACAATGGCCTCTCCCCCAGCTTGCACGCCCAGACTCACCAAGACACGGGCCTGCTCTGGAGTCAGCACATCGCCCTCCTTGCACACTTCATAGTCAGATAGCAGGGTCACCACACCTGTGGGAGGGCAGCCTCAAGTTACTCCCAGCAGAGGCTCATCTGGCACTTGCTGCTGGCTCTCTGTGCTAGGAAGCATTTGGTCTCAGGCTGTCTTCCCTGCAGCTCAGCAGCCACAGGGACAGTGGCTGCCTTCTCCATGTCCTGCAGGAAGCGAAGGCACAGCCCTGCCTTCACAGGGGAAACTGGACAAGTGGCTGGTCAGAGGGGAGAGCCTGTGCAAAGTGGTCCTGAGCTGCTTTTCGTTCTGGACTTCCTGTACAGTCTTCCTTCATTTTTCTTCATCTTTTTCCTTTCTGAGACAGGGTTTCTCTGTTTAGTCTTGGCTGTCTTGGACATGCTATGTAGACCAGGCTGGCTTCGAAATCACAGAGATCCACCTCCCTCTGCCTCCTGAGTGCTGGGACCAAAGGCTTGTGCCACCACTACCTGGCTCCTTCCTTTCTTCATGTTCTAAAAATTACTTTATGTGTAGGGGTGTTTTGTCTACATGTATGACCATGGTAGCATGTGAGTACCTGGTGCCTGTGGAGGCCAGATGAGGGTGCTGGGAACCAAACCCATGTCACCTGGAAGAGCAGCCACTCCCCCTAACCCCACGCCACCTCTCCAGCTCCTACCTTTCTTGAGTGCAGTGGGCAGGCCCAGCTGCCTCAGCTGTGGCTCCATGGAATGAGGGAACTGCTTCAGGGGCCCTGGGTCCAGGCTCACTGTTAAAGTTGCTTTGTTCCCAGCTCGAGCAAAATCCATTTCTGTATACTTTGTGAACCACCTAAGAAAGAGAAGGGGAGAGTTCCCAGCTGTGCCACCATTCAGGGGAAGTCTGGCCCTCCTCTGAGTGCACACGATGTGGGACCTCCTGTCCCTGTCCATCTTGGCCGTGAACCTGCAGCCAGTGGGAGGACCATGCCAGAGAGAATGAGAGTACCCCGGTTACAGAACCCCAGTTTTAGTAAGAGGCTTCCAGGAGTCAGCCCCAATATGATGTTAGCACGAAGACCATCCTTCCATCTTTCCCTGACCTTCAGATTCTTTCCCTCCATCCCTCAAGACACTCACTCGTTCACCTCCTCCTTGGTGCGGTTGGTAAAGAGGAGGCCAACTTCACCTCGCAACTTCTTGCTGACCTGAAAAATGCAAGTGAACATCACTGCTCCTTCACTCATGGCCTTATCCACAGATCACACGTGTTATCATCTAAAACCTCTTCTGATTGGTACAATTCCTAGTAGGCAGGGCAGGTGGAGACAATGGGAACAATCCCATGGGTCTGTAGATTTGCAGATTAAGGAGAACACCGATTTAAGCTGAGCTTGTCTCTCGAGACCCCCAGGTTTCACACAGCAAAGGTAAAGAGCAGGAGAGAGGAGGCAGCAGAGCTTGAGACTCACTCAGCCTGGACCAGTGACCTACCTGATGCAGGTTGTCTTTGTATTCATCAGATGGGCTTCGACCCAAGGCCACCATCATCACCTTGTTTTTGCCAAAGAACATCCTATCAAGAAAGAGGCGGCCGTGAAGCAGTGCCTAGTAATCCAGGGAGCCCAGAACCAGACAGCCAGAGGCTCTGTTCTCTGTACAACCCACCTACGTGTCCCCAGGATTCCTGTTTTCATCTTAGCCACAGAACCTGATCTTGCTAACACTTTGAGTCAGCTCACTGCAAGCATAAAAAACTATCCATCTCGTCTGGCTGTGGAGGGAGACATGTTTTAACAATCACTAGTGGAGCTGGCCCAATGGTAGACTGATGCCAGAGCCACCTGCCCAAGCACTGCAACTCATCAGCTCCCGCAGCCTGCTTTGGGGTCAGTCTGTGGATGTACAAAATGGCATTCCAGTAAACCAGTAAGCCAGACCCTAGGGGCCACTTTTCTGAAGGAACCAATCTTGAAACATCTCAGGTGACCACCAAGTCCTGCCTCCCAGCAGCTCAGGAAAGGCCCATCTTGAACACAAATGGTGTCCTTTGGTACGTGACCTGCAGACCCCCAAAGGGCCAGTCCTTCTGCTGTGCTCTGATGGGGCAGCCCAGGCCTCCTGCCTGGTGCCCTGTCCACTTCCCACCGCCCGCTCACCGGCTGTGCTTCCAGGCATTCCGGATGTCCTTCAGCTTGCTGTTCCTCATGTTCGCCACAGAGAAGATGAAGAGGTACTTGTAGGTGTCCACACATTTCCGAAGCTGTGGGACAATTCATGAGGTACTGGAGTTGAAGGGGCGGCATGGGTCGGACAACTCCGGCCTCATGCTAGAGAATCACCTACAGGCCGTCTACCACTGCCATGACTGGCACCAAGGTCACCCGCTACAGGAGAAGGTGAGCAGGAACCCACACCTTATAGTCTCCTAGAACCAGTATTTTCCTTTGTCTACTTACAGTTAATCTAGAAACATCTACCCACCATGGGAAGGCCCCTGCTAAGTCAAAACACAAGGACCTCATCATTTCGATAAACAAGGGGAGACACCTCATCCACACTGCCCTGCCCAGGTTGCTGGCTGAAGCTTCTCTGTGGTGAAGCTCCACTTCCAGGTAATTGATGCCCCAGGAGACTGGGCTTCCCTGGTCCTCAGCACAGGGCTAGCAGGTCAGCTGCAGGTGGCATGGCCACAGTCACCACACCTGGCGATTTCCAGGCTTCTGACACTCGGCACCATTACAGACTCACTAATAAGCTTCCGTCACGACCCGGAGTGCAAAACAGCAATAGCATCCCGTGGCCCTGTGTCACAGGGATGCTTGGGCTGCGCTGGGGGTGGCGTGGAAAACCCATTTACTGATGTGGGCGGTACACCGAGCTCCAGAGCTGGGGAACTCTGGGGCTGCCGGTTTTAAAGCACTGCTAACAGTCCTCTCCCAACCCTATCAAGCACACACGCTAGAAACCCAAAGGAGCAAGCGCTTACCTCTTCTATCAGGTTCTGCTTCAGTTCCAAGCCTTTCTTAGCAGTCTTTGTTAAGGAAACTAAAACCAAGAAAAGGAGATGGTGCTAAGTGATGAATCTGGATGCTTCAGAGATTAATTCTGCTTCATTCTTGGAAGGCTTGGTTGAACTAAGCCAATATGAAGAAGGCAGCAATGGATCCTGTCATTTCTGGCTTTCAAGGCTGGGAGAGTGCTTGCTTACCTAACTTCCTGGACCCAGAGATTCCTAAATACATCTCCTAGCACAATCCAGGCACCCTCAGCCCCTTGGGTTGACTGCTGGATTTATCGCAGTGTGGCAGCAGGGCTCAATCCTGCTGACAGAGTGCTCTCAGTGGTAACCCTAACCTCCTGGCTGAGGCAGGACCCTTTCCTGCTGTAGGGCATGGTGCACAGGCCATCAATGGCTAGGTCAGCTATGGAATGATAGCAACAATCCTTTTCTTTTCCTTCTTCTTCTCCTCCTCCTCCTCCTCCTCCTCCCCCTTCTTCTTCTTCTTTTAAAGGCAGGACCTTGGTACAAGGCTGCTTGGGCTGGCCTTGAACTCAAGATACATTTCTTTGTTTCTGCTTCCTAAGTGCTGGGATTACTTGTACATACCGACTCATCCTGTTGGGACCACATCTTTTCTATTCTACTACACACCCGCATTTCAATTTTGCATCTGGATCCAAGAATACAAGAATGCTGGGGATGGGGAGAGGCGCACAAGAACCTCTACTGAAAAGTTACTGAGGCCCTATTTATCCCACTTCTAAAAGAGTTACTGGCATTTGCTACATCAGACCAGGGCTTCCTCTCTAAAACCAATGACTTACCAGAACTTCAGCTACAAAGCCCTGGGTGTCTCAAGCAGGTGACAGGGCCTTTTATCTATCCTGCCTGCCACTCACAGTCCCTCTTTACAATGCACATAGTCAATGGAAACCACATCGAGCCAGCCATTCCCCCAGACTCTCCACTGCTAGGATTTTGGTCCAACTTGGCATTGTCCAGGTGGCTACTGGCCTTGCTGCTTGCATCTCGGCCCTCATATTCTCCAAGCTATCAATGTAGCCAAAGTAGTCCTTTTAAAGTAAAGTCATATCAACGGCCAGATCCTTTTCCCTCAATCCTGTTTTGTCCCCTTTACTATAGTCACACTGGTCCCTTCTCCCACAGTACGTTAACCACAGACCCCTTTCACCTTGTGAACAACCTTGTCTCAGACAGCTGTACAGGTTGGTTACTTTCCTTTCCCCAGGTTTCTGTTTGTGGTCTCACCACTGAGACCTTTCCTGACTACATGACACAAAACAGTATCATATCCACCTTCTGCAGACCCAACGTTTAACTACCAGACAAACCACACTTACCTGACAGGGATATAGGATACACACATACACACTCCCAAACACACACCATGATTAAAGCGGTGAGCTTGATGAAGCCAGACCCTTTTTGTTCAATTTCTTGTCTTCTAACACCCACAGAAGTGCCAGTCCACTAGCTGGATGTGGTGCCCCAGTCTGGAATTGGGGGCCAAGGCAGAAGACGGAGAGTCCAAGGCTCCAGCATTTAAAAAAAAAAAAAAAGAATTGTGGCAGGAGCCACAATCAGGTACGGTGATGCATGCCTATAAAATCCCTACGTTCTGGAGATGAGGTAATGGAAAGCCCTTGAGTTTGAGACCAGCCTGATCTACACAACAAGTCTAAGTTACATTCCAAGATCCTGTCTCAAATACACGAGCACGGCAGGGGATGCATGCAGCTCAGTGCTCAGCTGGTAGTGCCTTCCTAACAGGCATGAACTGTGGTCCATGCCCAGCTCAGCATAAACTAAGTTTAGTGGTGCATGCCTGTAACCCCAGCAATCGGGAGGTAGGATCAGCAGTTTAAGACTATCCTCGTTGGCGGAGCAGTTCGAGGAGAGCCTGGGGATTCAAGACTGTCTCGGGAGCTGCCTGTCGGTCCGGCCCAGACTCCCGCACTCCGCGTCGCCTTCAGATGCCAACCTGGCAACCCGCCGCCTCTGCCGGCGGGTCTCCTCTGAGAGGCCTCGGCGTCTCACCCGTGTCCCCGTCGCCCCCACGATGGAAGTCCCCCAAGCCCACCTTTCTTGTCTCGCTTGGATTTGGGCATCTCGCTGAAGACACGTGCGGCGGAAGACCGGGCGGCCCTTCAGGACCCGGGCGGCGCAGGGGCTTCTGGGACTGCGCTCGGGGCTGCCCCTCGCGTGTGCCTGACCCGAACTGAGGCGGGCTGGCTCCCCGTTTGCACTCTGTCCCGCGCCTGGAAGGCCACTTCCTGGCTCAGGTTCCAGATCCCTCCAGTCCCTCCAGTCCCTCCAATCCCGGCGGCTCCCGAGCCCTGAGCGCTCCAAGTGCCTCGCGCACCGCCTCCGCTCTATAGCTCGCCGCGGGGAGGGGCTTGAGGCCCAGTGCATGCCGGGATGGCGGCGGGCGGCGCTTGGGCTTCAACCATGGCGGCCGCTGTGGCGTCCGGGTTCTGGCTCTGGGCTACGCTGCTTCTCCCTGCGGCCGCGGTCTACGAAGACCAAGTGGGCAAGTTTGACTGGTGCGTATGGGTGACGCTTCTCCAGGAAGCAGGTGTCTGCTTTCCCAGCATCTGTCTCCCTCCTATTAGCAGGAGGGAGATTGCCATGGGGCAAGGACCGAGTTTGTAACTTCCAGGCAGGCCTTTAAGGGAGAGGTGAATGAATGAGTGCGGCACCCTGTGCAGAATGAAAACGTGAGCGTCCCTTCTTCAGATACGAAGAGTTTGAAGACGTCGACCCAAGACCATTCAATTAAGCACCCAGGGAACTCTTGAGCCGACCCGTGTATGACTGGGCAGATTGCCCTGCCGTGGAGCCAGCCTGCCATCCAGGCATGCTTTAGGGTTTTGGTCAGAGGTCACGGATTCCCTCCATTCCTGTCCGATTCTGGGGCTGTCAGGGTCGTGATCTCCTGGGTGTCAGAGGTCACTAGCCCCCAGTGAAAGTTCATCCTCCTGGAAACTAGCTGTTCTCTCTTAGCCCTCCTGCCTTAGAGGTTCTGAAGTGAGTTCTCTTTTTACCCTCTGAGGGACGCTCTGGGCACAGTGTCCTCTCCAAACTTATCAGCCAGGCATTCATTCACTCACCTCTTCCTTCCGGCCATGCTTGCTTCAGTTTGAAGGAATATTTGGCTGCTTGACTGTTGCATGCTCCTGGGGAAATTGACATACAGCTGAACAATAGTATTTTTAAAAGGTCTTCATTTTGGGCCCTGGACTTTCTGGCCTTTGGTTTCCGCATCTGTAAAATGAAGGCAATAACATTTGCCTTACACACTTGGTAGGTTTGTTTGGTGGCTACACGCAGAATAAAGTCACATGAAAATACACATAGAAATGACTGAGTCAAAACTTGACTCTACTACCAATTTAGCTCATGTAAAACAAACTAAACAACACAATGGTCTAAATGAGAGATGCAGTCTAAATGCCATGTTTGCCCAGTGTGCTCTAAGATAGCAGTATTTTTCTTTGCAGCATATGTACCTGGAAGTCTGGTGCAGCTAAAAGTTAATTAGGTTTAGGACTCTCTGGGATGTTGCTTGAGTAATGGGTGTTACACTCAGCTGGAAGACTGTTACTGTCTCTCATCTCTTTGGTGGTAATTCTTTCCTATCGCCTTTGCTTCTGAGTGCATTGCACAGAAATCTTGGGTATGGTCAGAGCTCTTCATTTGCACGCATTTCTTGTATGTGATGAGGGAGATGTGCTAGTGTGAGCCCAGCCATTTTTCTCTTTGTGGTGATGGCTTTGCCCTGATGTTCCCCTGCACCCTTCCTCAGGAGACAACAGTATGTTGGGAAGCTCAAGTTCGCCTCCTTGGAATTTTCCCCTGGATCCAAGAAGTTGGTTGTGGCCACAGAGAAGAATGTGATTGCAGCATTAAATTCTCGTACTGGAGAGATCTGTGAGTGAGCTGTGGGGACTGGAGGGAAGCTGACTGAAGTCAGTCCGACTGCCCTACGGCTTACCATCTTCTTTTCTTTCTCTCTTCCATCCTTCATCTTTCAAGATGTATATTTGTGTCACTGGCCTTTGTAATGTCCTCAATCCTAAAGGTCCTTAATAAGATAACACTGCAAAAGCTACATTCTATCCTGTTTTGCAATAAAAGGCTTAGATGACTGCCATGTAGTTATTCCTGCTGCTGGGATTGTTTGTAGGAATTTAGATTGTGAAAAGAGAATTCATAAACTTTTTTCTTACGAATTGGGTAGATTTTGTTAATTTTTTTGTTTTAATTTTTATTTTATGTGTATTGGTATTTGACCTGCATGTATGTCTGTGTGAGGGTGTTGAATCTTCTGGAACTGGGGTTACAGACAGTTGTGAGCTGCCATGTGGGTGTTGGGAATTGAACCAGGTCTTCTGGAAGAGCAGCCAGTGCTCTTAACCGCCGAGCCATCTCCAACCAGATTTTATCTTATTGTTGTTCCTTTATATGTTTCATGGGGTGGTAATGGACCAGAGGGGCAGAGAGCCCAGATGGGAAAAGCAATTCCTCTTGAACCCCTCCCTCCTCCCTCTCCAGTGAGTGGTCTAGGTCATAGCACTCAGTAGTGTCCCTGCTTCCTAATTAAAGTTAGGTAATGCTATGCAAATGAAGATCTTAGTGCCTTCTTAGTCTCGTTGGGTCACAGTCACTCACAGCAACACCTGACTCTCTTATCTCTCAGTGTGGCGCCATGTTGACAAGGGCACAGCAGAAGGTGCTGTGGATGTCATGTTGGTCCATGGACAAGGTAAGCAGAGGTCCCCCCATTTCCCATTGCTTGATGCTTTGCTTTGTTTAGGGTCTGATGGGGAAAGGAGAAGGGGGCTTCTACAGTGAAGGGCAGGTACCTGCTTCATACCTGTTTGCATCCATGAGCTAGAGCGGGTGTCATGGCATGTGGCTCTTACGAGACAACAGAGGAAGTGTGGGAAATGACAGTGGTCTTTGTCCTTTCCAGATGCAATCACTGTATCCAATGGAGGGCGAATCATGCGTTCTTGGGAGACTAACATTGGGGGCCTGAACTGGGAGATCACTCTGGACAGTGGCAGGTAGGCCAGAAGTGTGCTTCATTGTGGCTGAGTGAAGGGATCTGCATAGACAACAACTCTGGCCCTTTGGGCTTTTTTTTTTCCCTTCCTTGGGGACCACTGAAGAGGTATAGCACATCAGATGCCTATTGTTTTTGAAAAAATTTTTTTCTTATGTGTATGGGTATTTTGCCTGCTTGTATATTTATGGACCACATGCGTGCAGTACCAGTGGAGGCCAGGAGAGGGTGTTAGACAACCAACACCCACCCCCACCCCCGCCACACACACACACACATACACACACCCACACCCACATCTGGCTTAGATGCCCATTCTTGATTTACTTGTTGTAGCACATATGTGTTTATTACTGAGATTTCTATGTTATTAACAAATGGGATTAGCTATGAATTGGATGGATTTTGTTAATTGAGCAACTATTAGATGAACAGTTCTGTACTAGATACAATGTTTATTCTGTTCTTGAACACTGTCCCAATCTTACCATAATATATGAGCTTTGAGTGCTGTGTTCAAGGGAAAAGAACATAATACAAAGCTTTCCATGTTCCTTATGTTTGTTTGCTTTGAGACAGGTCTCATGTAGCCCAAGCTGCCCTCAAAGTAGCTATGCTGATGAGGCTGACTTGTGTGTGTGTGTGTGTGTGTGTGTGTGTGTCTGTCTGTCTGTCTGTCTGTCTGGGTGATGTGTGGGGAAGATGTGCATGCCGTAGTGCACATGTAGAGGTCAGTGAAAAACTTTGTGGAGTCATTTCTCTCTACCTCTGAGTGGGTTCTGGGGATTGAACTTGGGTTGTCAGCCTTGCTTAGCAAGTGCCTATACCTGCCAAGCCATCTTGACAGTCCCGGCCTTGACCTTCTGACACTCCTGCCTCTGCCTTGTAAGGGCTGGGATTGCAGAGCTGTTTCATGCTTGAAACTCCATATTTTAGTTCTCTGTTATTGAACAGTTTGGACCACTGTCTTATCTTTGCTGAGATTAATCTGTGTGCTTGTTGGCTTTAGCTTGCACATGGGACGATAACAGTTCACTGGTTACTAGCACTTGGTAGATCCCAGGTGATGAGAACACTGTCCATGTGAGACAGCCCTGACATCGAGTTCTTGCCCAGTTGTGGACATGGTCATAAACCTAACAGTGATAGCATTTCCTGAGTCCTGTGAAATCCCAGGGAAAGAGAGAGGTAACTCAAAGAAGATTTGGGGCCTTGAGGGCAGTGTGCCTGAATGGTTCTTAGGCAAGGCAGATTCTCCAATTGGTAGAGGCAAGATTAGACAGAACAAGCACTGGCATCCAGGTGTATTTGTTTTCTGATCCAGCAAGCAGCAGCCGCAGTAGTGGGGCCAGCCACTCTAGCTGAAGGCCCTCACTCATACCCGTGCTTAGTTTCCAGGCACTTGGGCTGGTGGGCCTGCAGGAGTCAGTGAGGTACATTGCGGTTCTGAAGAAGACAACTCTCACCCTCCATCACCTCTCCAGTGGGCACCTGAAGTGGGTGGAACATCTCCCAGAAAGGTAAGGCAGTCTCCTCCCAAGTGATGACTATCTTGTTGTGATCCCTACAACACTGTCCATCTCCTTGAGGGTGCTTGGCCAAGTGCCCTCCTGTTGGCATCACATGGGAGTGTATACTCTTGCACGTGGGCCTGAGTGGAAAGGCCGTGGCTACATACTTGGGGTGTACTTGGTAGGGCAGAGAAGATTCAAACTGGGGCACTAGAGCTGCCACATAGGCGGCTGCTCCTGCTCACACACACACAGCGCTCTGGGCCTTTCGACTGCT